CCACAGACACAGAACCAATAGGATGTGTGCATGTATACGTGTGTGTGTGTGTGTGTGTGTGTGTGTGTATACAGTCATGCGCCACATAACGTTTTGGTCAATGATGCACTGCATATACGATGGTGGTCCCATAACATTATAATGGAGCTGAAAAATTCCTATCGCCTAGTGACATCATAGCCATCATAACATCATAGCACAACACATTACTCACGTGTTTCTGGTGATGCTGGTGTAAACAAACCTACTGTGCTGCCAGTCATATAAAAATATAGCACAATTATGTACCGTACATAATACTTGATAATGATAACAAATGACTATGTTACTAGTTTATGTATTTACTATATTATACTCTTTATTGTTATTTTAGAGTGTATTCTTTCTACTTATTAAAAAAAGTTTACTGTAAAACAGTATGCTGTGTTACGCTGGCAGCAGTCTATTTACTGTGTCTCTTGATCGCATCATTTTCTCTTGTGCTTGATTAAATCTTGTGTTTTTTGTTAATCATGGCCCCTAAGCATATAAAATCCACTGCTAATGTTGTCAGTAAGAGGCTACGTTGAGTGACTGACCTGGAAACAAAACTAAAAGTGATGAAGGACTACAAAGGTGGAAAATCAGTGATGGTTATTGCTCACCAGTCAGGCATGTCCTATTCCACCATAGCTATGATCTTGAAGAACAAGAAGAAAGTGACAGAAGCTGTTAAAGGATCTGCTTCATTGAAGGTGACAAGAGTAACAAGAATTTGAGACGGCCTATATCAGACATGGAGAAACTTCTAATGACCTGGATTGAAGACCAGACACAGAAGCGTAGCCCTCTCAGCACCATGATGATCACAGCCAAAGCAAAAAGTTTGTTTGTGATGTTGAAAGAAAAGGCTGGACCCAACTACAATGTTGAATTTACTGCTATCTCTGGGTGGTTTAAACGATTCAAGAATTATTATTCATTAAACAACATGAAAGTAAGTGGTGAGTCTGCAAGCGCTGATGTGAAGGCAGCTGAAGAATTTCTGGACACTCTAGATAAGGTGATTGTGGAGGAAAATTACTTGCCAGAGCAAATATTCAATGTGGATGAAAATTCCCTATTTGGGAAACACATGCCTGAAAGGACTTTCATCCATAAGGAAGCCAAGTCAATGCCAGGTTTCAAGGCTTTTAATAACAGGATAACAGCCTTGTTTGGGGGCAGTGTTGCAGGCTACAAATTGAAGCCCTTTGTGATCTGGCACAGTGAGAACCCCAGGGCCTTCAAGCATATCAATAAGCACACAGTGCCAGTGTACTACAGGAGCAATGAGAAGCCAAGGATGACCCAGCTCCTCTCCCAAGATGCCCTCCTCCTGAATTGTTGTGCCAGCAAAATGGGGAAGTACTGTTTGGAGAATAACATACCTTTCAAGATTTTGCTTATGTTGATAATGCTCCTGGAGATCCTCCTTTTATTGGTGATCTTCATCCCAACATCACAGCAGTGTTTCTCCCTCCAAACACCACCTCTTTGATCCAACCAATGGATCAGAGAGTTATAGCAGCTTTTAAGGCCTACTACCTGAGGAGGACCTGTCCCCAGGCTATTGCTACGACTCAAGAAGACACTGAGAAGACACTGATGCAATTCTGGAAGGATTACAACATCTATGACTGCATCAAGAACCTTGCTTGGGCTTGGGGTGATATCACCAAAGAGTGTATGAATGGCATCTGGAAGAAGACACTCAAGAAGTTTGTCCATGACTTCAAAGGATTTGCCAAGGATGAAGAAGTTGCAAAAATCAAGGCTGTGGTTGAGATGGCAAACAATTTTAACCTTGATGTGAATAAAGGTGACACTGAGGAGCTCCTAGAGGTGGTTCCTAAGGAATTCACTAATGAGGAGTTGTGGGAACTGAACAGGAATGCACAGCTGAAGAAGAGGCAAGAGAAAAGGAAATTGCAAGAGAAGAGAAAGAAGAACCCCCAAGAAAACGCACAGTGAAGGGTTTAGCAGAAGCTTTTGCAGACCTCAACAAGCTCCTTAAAAAGTTTGAAAATATGGAGCCCTTGGGCTGGCCCTGTGGTGTAGTGGTTAAGTTTGGTGCGTTCTGCTTCGGCAGCCCAGGTTCCAGGTTCAGATCCTGGGCAGGGACCTACACCACTCGTCAGCCATGCTGTGGTGGAGACCCACATATAAAGTAGAGGAAGATTGGCATAGACGTTAGCTCAGGGCGAAGCTTCCTAAAGCAAAGCAAAACAAAACAAAACAAGGAAGACTGGCAACAGATGTTAGCTCAGGGCTAATCTTCCTCAGCAAAAACAAACAAAAAAAATAAAGAAAGAAAATATGGACCCCAACACCAAAAGGTTTTCATTAATAGAAAGGAATGTTCATGGTGCATTATCTGCTTACAAGCAGATATATGATGAAAAAAAGAAACAAACCAAGCAAACTACCATGGACATATTTCTGAAAAGAGTGACAACTTCTTAAGAAGAGCGTCAGGCAGGTCCTTCAGGAGATATTCCAGAAGAAAGTATTGTTATCATAGGAGATGACAGCACCATGTGTATTATTGACCCTGAAGACCTTCCAATGGGACAAGACGTGGAGGTGGAAGATGGTGATATTGATGATCCCGACCCTGTGTAGGCCTCGGCTATGGTGTGTGTTTGTGTCTTAGTTTTTAACAAAAAAGTTTCAAAGTAAAAAAAAAAAAAAAAATAGTTTACAAATAGGAAAAAGCTTATAGAATAAGGATATAAAGAAAGAAAATATTTTGTGTATTTGTACAATGTGTGTTTTAAGCTAAGTGTTATTACAAGAGTCAAGAAGTTAAAAAATTAAAAAGTTTATAAAGTAAAAAAGTTACAGTAAGCTAATGTTAATTTATTATTGAAGAAAGAAAAATATTTTTTCCTAAATTTAGTGTAGCCTAAGTGTACCATGTGTACACTGTGTGTGTGTGTATATATATATATAGAGAGAGAGAGAGAGAGTCTATGCTGATTTCTGACTCCCAGCCTCCAGAACTTTGAGAGAATAAATTTCTATTGTTTTAAGCCACCAAGTTTGTGGTACTTTATTACAGCAGCCCTAAGAAACTAATACAGACAGCATATATATTCACATAGAGATACATATAGACACCAGTCATGCATCACTTAACAATAGGGATACGTTCTTAGAAATGCATTGTTAGGCAATTTCGTTGTTGTGCAAACATCATTAAAGTGTACTTACACAAACCTAGATGGTATAGACTAATACACACCTAGGCTCTATGGTATAGCCTATCTCCTAGTCTACAAACCATGTACAGCATGTTACTGCTCTAAGGAACAGTATACATATATACAGCGAGAGACATTGATTTTTAAGGAATTGGCTCATGTGATTACGAAGGCTGGCAAATCCAAAATCTGTAGGGTCAGCCAGCAGGCCTCAGACCCAGAGAAGAGCCAGTGTTGCAGTACAAGTCCAAAGGCCATCTGGTGGCAGAATTCCTTCTTGCTCAGAGGAGGTTAGTCTTTGTTCTAAGATGTTCAAGTGATGGGATGAGGCCCACTCACATTATGGAATTACAATCTGCTTTACTCAAAGCCCTCTGATTTACTCAAAGCCCTCTGATTTACTCAAAGCCCTCTGATTTAAATGTTAATCTCATCCAAAAAAAATCTGCACAGAAACATCTAGAATAATGTTTGAGCAAATATCTGGGCATTGTGACCCAGTCAATATGATACATAAAATTAACTATCACAAATATATTTCACTAAGACTGGTTTGTGGGTTGAATTGTGTTTCCAAAAAGATATGTTCAAATCCTAACCCCTAGTACCTGTGAATGTGACCTTACTTGGAAATAGGGTCATTGCAGATGTAAATAGTTAAGATGAGGTTATACTGGAGTAGGGTGGGCCCTTAATTCAAAGACTGATGTCCTTATAAGGAGAGGAAAAGATACACAGGAACAGATATGCACAGAAGGAAGATGGTGAGATGACAGAGAGAATGCCACGTGATGATGGAGGAGATTGGATCTATGGTGCCAGAAGCCAAGGAATGCAAAGGATTGCCAGCAACACCAGAAGCTAAGGGAAAGGCATGGAACAGATTCTCTCTCAGAAACTCCATTAGGAACAAACCCTGCTAATACCTTGATTTCTGACTTCTAGCCTCCAGAACTTTGAGAGAATAAATTACTATTGTTTTAAGCCACCAAGTTTGTGGTAGTTTATTACAGCAGTCCTAAGAAACTAATAAAGAAAGCATAGACAAAATATGATGTTCTAACGTCATTTTTTCCTGTGTGTTTATCAACTTGTGGTTGATCCATTTCTGTTAGGTTCATCCATTTCTGTTTGTTTTCAATATTTTGGAAATGCTTTTTCCTTTTAATTTTGGCTAAATTAGTTATTTATGTTTGCAAAGTCAAGCTATATAATAAAGTATATTCAGAGAAGTCTTATTTTCCCCCAATCTGTCCCATTCCTGTTCCTTACCTCCCCAAAATATAAAAGAACATCAAATAATATCAATAATGGTTGTCTCTGGGAAGTAAGATTATATATTTCCTAACTCTTCTCTGAGGCTTTCAAATCAGGACAAAATAAAATTTAAGAAAATAAAATGATTTGTCCTACAGGGTCCAGTTCAAATTCCATGACCTCAATGAAACCTTCCCATAAGTACTTTCTCTTTTCTGAACTTATGCCCTGTTTACTGTCTCTACTGCTCACTTAGCCCTTTGCATCAATCAATCAATAAATTAAAATATTAATGCACTGAGATCTGTAATGCACTGAGATCTGAAGGGCACCATGTTAGATGCTGTGGGAACACAATGTATTATCAGTTAAGTTTTTATGTATAGTCACTTCCTTGATGAAGCTATACATCGAAGCAAGAGCTCTCTTATATCCTCCATGATGGCCATCACTGGTGACTGATGAAACCAAATCCCTTTGCACAAAAAGTTGAAGAGAAAATAAATAAAAACTGAAACAGATTGATACAAATCCCTTTAATAAAGTATATAAATGACAACTTCACATTTAAATAAATATATTGTTAAAAAATCATGCAAGACATCTTGTTATAATTACTAAGAAAGATTTGAGAGTGCTATTCCCTCTGCAGAAATGCTATGTACAGATGCAAAATGATCAAAGGCTGATATAATAATGAATCTCAAGTAAGTGGCATGGCCATCACGTCCCTGTAGGGGAAAAATCAATACGGATGCTTTTAGAAATTCTAGTTAACTGTTAAACAAGCAGTTAGCAGAAGAAAGCATTCGATTCAAGAGTAATATTCTAAATATATAACAATATATAGGATAATATTCAGAAGAAAAGTCAGCCGCATATAACAGTACATTGTTCTAGTGTGTATCAGCTGAATATCAGCCTTGGTTTGATGAAAAATAGCAGCTGGAGCTAAAGACTGCAACTGTACATTTCTCATCAAATTTACAAGTGTCTTTCTAAAGTATTTTTCATGATAAGAGATTTCCTTTGGTTAATGATGCCTTAGAATATACTGAAATGTATCCTGAAACATTACTATACTTTTATATTTATATAATTTCTCTGGAAAGCAATTTGGCAATATATAAAAAAAGCTATAAATATGTCTATATCGTTGGACCCAGTAATTCCATTCCTTGAAATTTAATCTTAGAAAATAATTTAAAAGGTGAAGATCATGGTAGCAGGAACATGCATAAGATGTCCCTTGTAGTATTACTTTTAATGACAGAAGGAGGAAAAAGGAAATTAGTTAGCATTTGCCTATTTACATACATTTAATCTTAAAATTATAATTACAAAGCCTGTATATAATATTGAGTTAAAAAAATGATACAAAATTGTTCATCATTACTGTTACAACTATGTGATGCCTATGGTCGACAACTAGGAGAAAGCAGGTATAGTAAAAGCTGTTGAGGCAGGGTAATAAAATTATGGATGATTTTCAGCCTCCCACCTCCCCTTACTGTTTTCCAGATGTTCTATAATGCTGCGACCCTCCCTGATCCACAGTGAGTCCTGAAACAAAATGCTGAGCAGAGACTTACTAATCGTAACCCATGGGTGAAGATGAGAAAAACAGGAAGATAAAATTCAGTCTAATCAATCATTTTTCTGCCCCCCGCCACCAACACTGGCCTTCCCAATCATCGGGCACATTTGGGTGGTAGAGAAGAGAATTAATAGGGCTCAAAAACTTCCTACAGAATCTTTTGAAATACTGATTTCATAGCAGCTCCCAGCTAGTTGTAAAGAAGGAAATTTAACGGACAAGGTACCACTTTAAGCCTCATTTAGAGAAACTTTAATTAAACAAACACTACCACCTGAAAAAACACACATTTAGTTGTTTCACTTTTTTGCGTTTGTCTAAAACCAGGGCCTGACCAACCAGCAGGAACAGAGAAACTCCTGATGAGGCAGCAGCTTCCTCATCAACGGCCATTCATTCCACTTGACAAGCAAAGCCCAACGGAATGTTGTCGAAAAATGTCGGTTCTCTTTCTACCTCATCTCTCTTTGGCTTGTTTGTTGCTGATCCTATGCTCCAGTTCCCCTCATCTGAATCTCCCTTGTCCTTTCATGCTTACATTAACATCCAATTTTGGCATCTCAACCTTTTTTGATTCCTATTCTAAAAGGCCTACAGAATCAAATGGAAGAAAGCAAAGCAAGTAAATATTTAGAATCAATGAATGAACAAAATAAAACAAAAACAAATAAGTGAATTCTGTTTTGTCCTGGCTGTCATTCTGTCTATGATAGATAAGAGCCTAACTTATGAATGCTACATTTAGATTAATATTATTGAGAATAACCTTCTCTATTGGTTGATTAGGTACAGACCTATATCATAAGGGTATTTATTAACTTTATAACTATAGAGATAGGTTTAAAATTTAAATACATTGTGCTGACTACAGATAATATTTATCTCTAAGAAGTATATTTACTTACCATAATTTCTTCACTTTGAAGTTGACCTTCTGTGTGTACTAGATCTGAAACACAAATTTAACAAAAATGAGTTAGGGCTCAAAATACTTGAAGTGAGCCACTGAAATTTATGTTTAGCAAAACATGATATCTGGCCAACTATAGTTAGACCAGATTTACCAGTGTTTTGGGGTTAAAATTCAATGTAAAAATAGAGATATCTGATATAAAAGGTATGAAAGATAAACTATTCATAAGCTATAAAATATCTCTAATGAGTATAAACAAAAGGAAATGCAAATGTAAATTACAGTAAAGGAATATAAAGGAATTTATAAAATGTGAAAATCCCTTTTAAGGATTACACTACTAACAGTAATTGCAGGCCTGAAAGGAGCCATCTCACAGTTCCATGGGTAATGACTAGACCTCAGTCCTCTCTGTGAATGTTCACTATGATGCTGAATTATGCTAAGCTGTTCATGAATTGATCTTTTCTGGTATCCAACTTTAGAAAACTTTTACTTTTTTTAGGACAGATTAATTTATTTGATTATGAGTTAATCATAACCATGAAATATTTAATTGATATAATAATAAACATTGACATTATTTAGAAATTAATTTTATTCATATCAAAATAGTTAGTGTACACAATTTTAAAAAGGCGTGTAGTACAAAAAGGGGAGTCTCTGGGAAGTAAGATTATGTATGACTTTCTTTCTGTTTCCTAACCTTTCTCTGAGGTAATGAAAAGTAGTAATCCCCTGCTTGACTCCTCCTTGCTCCTCCAGTCCTGCTCCCCAGAGGTAAATGTTTTCAAAGCTGTTTCTCTGGGAATTATAATATGTTTATATTCTTCCTCTTGATTTATCAATTTTTACTGATTTTATATTACAGGAGGTGAAAACTTAGGTCTCAGAGACCAATATCCTCTTCCTCCTCCTCTTGCCATCCTCTCAATTTTGAAATCAATACTTGATGGTTACATTATTATCTATATAAATGTTATTTGCTGCTGAAATAAGTAATAAATTATGATCACATTTTCTTTCTTATATAACTCCTCCCTGACCAGGAGTTAATAATAACCTCTTTTTTTTCCTTTACTTAGATATTTTTAATTATGAAAAATTGGAAAATTTCAAACTTATGTAAAAGAAGACAGAACATGACTCCTATATATACCCATCATCTTTTACAATTACTAACATTTCACCATACTTGATTTATCTAATTTTTTTGCTAAACTATTTTAAAGCAAGTCTAAGACATCACGACATTTTATTTCTAAATATCTGATTATCCATCTCTAAGTAACAAGAATATTTTCTTACATAACCACAATACCATTACCATACTAACATTAAAAATAATGCTTTAGGGCCAGCCCCGTGGCTTGGCGGTTAGGTGCGTGCACTCCGCTGCTGGCGGCCCGGGTTCAGATCCCGGGCGCGCACCGACACACCACTTCTCCAGCCATGCTGAGGCCGCGTCCCACATACAGCAACTAGAAGGATGTGCAACTATGACATACAACTATCTACTGGGGCTTTGGGGGGAAAAATAAATAAATAAAATCTTTAAAAAAAAAAAATAATGCTTTAATATCGTATATAGTCACGTACTGCATAACGACATTTTGGACAATGACAGACCTCATATATGATGGTGGTGCCGTAAGATTAGTACCATATAGCCTAGGTGTGTAGTAGGCTATACCATCCAGGTTTGTCTAAGTACACTCTGTGGTGTTCAGATAACGACAAAATTGCCTAACGACGCATTTCTCAGAACGTATCCCCGTTGTTAAGCAACACATGACTGTAGTACCCAGTCCATATTCAAATTTCCCCATTGTCCCCCAAAATGTCTTTTTGTAGTTGATTTATTCAAATCAGAACTGTCTCTTTTAATCTTGAGCTGCTTTCTCTCCCACACACATATTTTTTTCCATGTCATTGACTTATTGAAGAGAGTAGGTCAGTTATCTGTATAATGTTCCGCATTTTATCTTGCCTCCTCATGGTTTCATTTAATTTGTTCCTCTATCCTCTATATTTCCTATAGATCGTAAATTAGAGCTAAAGGCTCGATTATATTCAGGGTTTGAGGTCTTCATCAAATGTCTGGTGATCTTTGGCTGTCTTTTGTTACTTATGAAAAATCATTTGAAAACAGTGGTCATGAGCCAGGCTCACTGACTAGTAGACTTTGATAGGGTGACCAAGAATGAGCTAGCCTTTCTCAATATCCATAGATCTTTTTTCTGGGGGCATTCAGTTTCTCCAAAGATGAGTCCTCCAATATCCTGGCTGGGACTATATTCTTGGTTGCTGTTATAAATAGCAGGGCACAGGAGGAGTTCTCAATCATTCAATATGCAGGCTTCCACTTAAATCCCATTTTCAACTCCATGTCTCACTCACTCTCTCTACTATGCCTGGTTTCCCTGAGTTCTGAGCCCCAACATTCAATGCTCCTAGTCATCCCTTGTGGGTGGTTTGTGGGAGGAAGGAGTGGTCACCTAGCTTTGTCGGGTAGGGGAGGGTACCTAGGGTCCAACCACTCTGAATACAGATATTCAACTAATCACCCTTGTTGTCAGGTCCATGTCTCACTCACACTTTCCATGGCACCTTTTGTCTTTAAGTTCTAGCCCTTTCTGGGGTTCTCTTGGGAAAATTGGCTTGCTCCTCACTGATATTCTCCTTGGCAGGCACTTAGGTTATAACATACTCCATTCAGCTACTGAAGCTACTTCTCCTCCATGGATGTCCACTCTTCCATAATATATATTGATCTTTCACATCTGCTTGCATCTCCTGGTTTTTTGTTTATTTTTAATTTTTGTCCTTGTAGGTTTATGCCTCTCTTTACTCCTTTACTATTATTTTCATGGTATTTTGGGAAGGAAAGGAGATAGATACATGAAGGCAATATGCTGCGTTTAACTAAGGCTACCAATTCTGCTGATGGCATGTAAATTGTACCATTAACCAGGAAGTAAGGAAAGACAAGAAACTAATATTTATTGTTTGCCTACCATACGCCAGACACTATGTTCACAGAAACCTTAAATGGTAGATATCATCTCTATTTTTCAGATAAGGATTCTGAAACTCAGAAAAATTAAGTAACATGTTAACAGTTACATAACCAGTAAGTGAAGAAGCAGTCTTGTATTCAAACCTGGGTTTTTCTAGGCTCTAAATAGGTCATAAGAATCGTTCAGGTCATTTTTTTTCACCAAAATGCAGCCCGATTGGAATTACAGAGTCAAAGGACAATTTTCTACTCCCTCATACTCAGAACAATGCTGGTGAAACAAACACATACCTCTTTCAATCCACTGCTCAAAATCGACTGGCTCTTTAGATGTGCTCTTTTCAATCCTCAAGGTCCGCACTGACGTTGTCAATAAAATAAATAAAATGTTAATTATCTACCTGATTCTATGTTGCTGCCCCTATGTTCCTTTTTTTCTCTGTCTGAGACTGTCAGACATTGGTGGGATGTACAAAGTACTGGGATCAGGAACAGTATGTTGTGAAAATCACTCTCACTCTGTTTTTCCATAAGTTCCTTTGATGCAATGCAGACTGTGTCACTGTAATTTTAAAAATACTTGTAAGCATACAACACAGAGCTGGTAGAGCCTTTTTGAATTTGGCATCATCCAGATTTTTTTTTTTTGTATACTGGTATTAATAATAATAATACTATTACTGGTCTTGGTCATAAACCTTTATGAAGAGACTACTATAAGTCAGGTATATTTATTCATTCACTCTTGACTACAATCTTATGAGAAAAGTATTATTAACCTACTTTACTGATGAGGAAACAGGCTTAGAGAAATCAGGCAACTTAGAGGAGTCACACAAAGTGTTCAACGATATAGTGCTGGCAAGTGCCAGAACTGGAATTCAAACTTGAGGTCTGCCTGACTCCAGAGCCTCTACGATGAATGACAGAAGAGAGACTTAACAGGAATGCAGTCATCTTCCTTCCGCACTGGTTTTTCTCCATTACCCCTAACCTAGCTCCCGTGACCCACATCCGTTCTTCCCCTTCTCTGTTCTGTGCCCTTGTGGGGAAGACCCCTGTGGACTGCATCACCTGGACTCCTTTGGCTACTGGTCGGATTTGGCCAATAGCAGGCACTGGGAGGAAACTGGAGGGCAGTGGGGAAGTGAGATGAAGTTGTTTTTTCTCCACTTCCTTCCTGCTTCAGTGCCACATCTTTGACAGTGGCTATGTCCCTTCGTGATTACAGCTCCTGCCGGGCAGGTCCTTATCCACAGGCTCCAGCTCTCACTGGGCCCCAGTGATACTGTTTCCTTCCCTTGTTCCAGGGGTGGTAATGGCTTACTGCTGTAGCCAGTTTCTAGGTATCTCATCTTCCCTGGCTTGTTCCCTTAACCCAGAAGATAATTTTGTAAGTAGTCCCATCAATAAAGTCTCTTCATTTGAATCATCTAGGATGTACTCTGTTCCCTATTATGATTTTGTCTGATACACTTTATCCTTAAATAAACATAAGACAGGATTAGAATGATGTTCCAACGGGAGACTCTCCTCCTAAATCCCTCAGAAAAGGCCATTATTTTTTTTTATTTTTTGTGAGGAAGATCAGCCCTGAGCTAACATCTGATGCCAATCCTCTTCTTCCTTCTGAGGAAGACTGGCCCTGAGCTAACATCCGTGCCCATCCTCCTCTACTTTATATGGGACACCACCACAGTATGGCTTGACAAGCAGTGCGTCGGTGCGTGCCCGGGATCCGAACCAGTGAACCCCGGGCCGCCGCAGCAGAGTGCGCGCACTTAACCGCTTGCACCACCTGGCCGGTCCCCAGAAAATGCCATTATTAATAGAAGAATCAAAATTATCCAATGCAAATAGCCAGGGTTATCAGATTTTCAGAAAGAATGTGACAGAGAACCCCAAGCTAAATGAATTTGGAATAAATATGTCAAGGAATCTAGTGTTCTGGCAAGCTGGCTTCTTATGTTCATAATAGGGTCTTTTGCCAAAGACTTTCACATAATAGATTGCATGAAAATTATTATGTGCTTTGGAAGGGTTTCAAATTTGCCGTTTCAGAGAGGCTAACTGTGCTCAAGGCAGTTAACCCATACTCCCCACTCTCCCACCCCAGCAATAAAACTAGCTCCATGCTGCAAAGAAAAATTAGTGTTTTGTCAAAAGTTTACATACGTGCCCTATGCCTATGGAAAAATTAAAAGAAGATGAAAATTAATATATGATTTGCTTACCAAAGTAACTTTGGATTACAAGCCTTTCAATCCTTACTTGTTTGTGAAAACAAATAATGAATTCTTGGGGAAACATTCCTGTGGTGGTCCAAAATGTTTCTGGATTCCTATTGTAAATTTTCAAGAAAAAGAGAAAGGAATAGCCAAATAAAAATGTTTAACCACAAAATTCTAATGAATAAGTATTTAAAAAAAATAAACGACCCCTGGATTCTTGCAATCCCTCCCTCACTGTTCACTCTGCCTCTAATCTCTCCCCAACTTGAATAATTCTTCCTGACTACTACCAGATATATTTTTAAAAACACAGAAACAAAGAATTGATGTTACTTTTGTCTAAAACGTTTCTGTGGTCCCTTATGACCTATAAATCAAAATTCCTTAGTGTGGCATTTTACGACCCTGTACAGTCTGGTCCCATCATTAAAATATATAGTCTCCCATCAGGATATCATGTCTCATAACTGTAGTCACATTGGGCCAATTAAAATTCTGCAAACACATCATGCATGCTCATGCTCCTGCTCCTGTGCCTTAGTTCATGAGGTTCTCTTGATCTAAAAGCCTTTCTTCCCTTACATAAGTTTATTCACTTTTTGGTCCCATCTCTCCAACCCCAACAAACCAGAATCATTCCTCCCTCCTTTGCACTTGCCTCTCACGCAGCATCCATTTTCACATTGGCACTGATCTCTTATGTGTTTATGGCTCCTGCTTAAGATGCTGAGCTCTTTGAGTCCAGCCACTTTCTCTTACTCATCTTTATACCCCAGCAACTATCACAATGTTGACCCATAGTTAGTGCACAATAGATGTGTGTTGAAAAAAAATTAAAACTTGCACTCAATTTTGTTATATATATAAAATTAAATATGTATATAAGATATATAGTATTGACTACAGAAATAATCATTTCTATTTTAACTACATAAGCTCTTCCTTTTTGGGAGGTAAAATTTACCAACAGTGTACAATTCAATGAGTTTTGACAAGTGTATATGTTTATGTAACCAATATCCCAGGGCAACCAATACCTCAACCAAGATACAGAATATTTCCAGCACTCCAGAAACTTTCCTTCTCTTTCCTTCCAGACAATTCCTACTTCCCTTAGGCAACTACTGCTCTGATTTCTATGGCCATAGACTATGCCACAATTTGTTCATTCATTTTTTTTTTATATTTTTATTGGATATTTGGATTGCTTCCAGTTTTTCACTATTATGAATGAAGCTGCTACACACATTCTTGTACAAGTGTTTTTGTGGACATACTTTCATTTCTCTTGGGTAATTACTAGAAGTGGGGTGGCTGGGTCATAGGGTAGAGGTATGTTTAACTTTAAAAGAAACTATCAGATTTCCAAAGTGGTTGTACCATTTTACATTCCTACCAGCAATGTAAGAGAGTTCTAGTTGCTCCACACCCTTGCCAACATTTGCTGTTGTCAGTCTTTTTAATTTTAGCCATTCTAGGGGATGTGAAACGGTGTCCTACAATGGTATTAATTTGCACTTCCCTGATAACAAATGATTCTAAGCACTTTTTTCATGTGCTTTATGGCCATTCATATATTTTCTTCTGTTAAGTATTTTCTCATTTTTTATTAAACTGATTGTATTTTCACCATATATTTGTCCTTTGTGAGATACATGTACTGTGAATATTTTCTCCCAGTCTATAGTTTGCCTTTTCATTTTTAATTGTGTCTTTCAATAAGTAGAAGTTTTATTTTTGGTGAAGTTCGGTTTTATTACTTTTTCTTTTATGATCAGTGATTTTTATGTCCTAAGAAATCATTGCTTAACCCACTGTCACAAAGGTACGTACTTTTTTTTTTTGCTGAGGAAGATTGTCCCTGAGCTAACATCTGTGCCAGTCTTCCTCTATTTTGTATGTGGGATGCCGCCACAGCATGACTTGACGAATTAGGTGTAGGTCCACGCCCGGGATCCAAACCCACGAACTCCAGGCCACCGAAGTGGAGTGCATGAACTTAACCACTATACCACTGGGCCAACCCCAATCTTTTTCAAGATTATTTTGACTAGACTAGGTCATTGCATTTCCATATACATTTCAGAATCAACTTGTTAATTTCTATTTAAAAGTCCATTGAGATTTTGATTAACATTGTACTGAACCTATAGGTCATTTTAGGGAAAAATTGCCATCTTAACAATATTGAGTTTTCCAATCACGAATGTAATATATCTTTTATTTAGTTCTTTAATTTTTCTCAGCAATATTTTATAGTTTTCAGTGTAAAGATCTTGCATATCTTGTTGTTTATTCTTAACTCTTTTATGTTTTGACTGCTATTGTAAATGGAATTTTTTAAAATTTCATTTTCCAACTGTTTCCTGCTAGTATATAGTAATACAATTGATTTTTGTATATCAATCTTGATAAATTCACTTATTAGCTCTAGTAGTTTTTTTTGTAGATTCCTTAGGGTTTTCTATGAAACATTCATATAATCTGTGTACAAAGACAATTTTACTCTCTTTCTAATCTTTATGCTTTTTATGTCTTTTCTTGCCTTATTGCATTGGCTAAGACCTCCAGAAAAAGGCTGAATAGAAACGGTGAGAGCAAACATTCTTGCTTTGTTTCCAATCTTAGGGTGAAAGTATTTATTATTTCACCATTAAGCTAAATGTTTTTAGTAGATGTCTTTATCAGATTGAGGAAGTTCCCTTCTCTTCTTAGTTTGCTGAGAATTGTTACCACGAATGGATGTTGATTTTTGTCAAATGCTTTTTCGGCATCTATGGGGATGATTATACGATTTTTCTCTATTTTTCTGGTAACGTGAATTACACTCAACCTTGTATTCCTATGATTATGTGGTAAATATGCTAACCTTGCATTTCGAGGATAAACTCCATTTGCTGGATTCAATTTATAAGGATTTTTGTGTCTATGTTTATAAAGGATATTGGTCTTTGATATCCCTTTCTTGTAATATTTTTGTCAGGTCCTGGTATCAGGGTTATATGGTTCTCATAAAACTATCTGAGAAATGTTTCCTCCTCTATTTTTGAAAGATTGCTATTTTTTCTCTAAATATTTGATAAAATTTAATTTCTATAATAGACATATTGCTATTCAGATTTTCTATTTCATCTTTCGTCATTTTTATATGTTTAGTTTTTCAAGGAATCTGTCCAATTTATTAGCCTAAATTTGTTCTTTTTAAAAAAAATTTTTTTAATTGAGGTATAATTGACATATAACATTATATTAGTTTCAGGTGTACAAAATGATGCTTCGATATCCTAAATTTGTCCTTGCTATTGACTTATTTGTCTTTTAGAATCTGTAGTGATACTGTTTCTTTCATTGCTGGTACAGGTAATTTGTATTTTCTTTATTTCTTCTTGGTCAATCTTTCTAGAGGTTTATAACTTTTACTAATCCTTTCAGATAATCAACTTTGGCTTTGTTAATTTTTTCCAATTGTCTATTTTCTATTTCATTGATTTCTGTTCTTACTTTTATTATTTACTTTCTTCTGCTTTCTTTGGGTATAATTTGCTCTTCTTTATCTAGCCTCCTAAGGTAGAAATTTACTTATTGGTTTTAAAACATTCTTCTTTTTAATGTAAGTATTTATGCTATAACTTTCCCTGGAAGCATTGCTTTAGCTGCATCCCATAAATGTGGATATATTGAGTTTTCATTATTATTCAGTTAGAAATATTCCAGGGGCCGGCCCTGCGGCGTAGCAGTTAAGTGCGTGAGCTCCACTGCTGGCAGCCCGGGTTCGGATCCCAGGCGTGCACCGACACACCACTTGTCAGACTATGCTGTGGCGGCGTCCCACATAAAGTGGAGGAAGATGGGCAAGGATGTTAGCTCAGGGCCAGTCTTCCTCAGCAAAAAGAGGAGGATTGGCATGAATGTTAGCTCAGGGCTGATCTTCCTCACAAAAAAAAAAAAAAAAGAAATATTTTCTAATATCCCTTGTGATTTCTTCTTTGATTCATGGGTTATTTAGAAGTGTCATGTTTGATTTCTAAGTTTTGGGGGTATTTTTCTAGATGTCTTTTTGTTATTTCTAATTTAATTACATAGTGCTCAAAGAACACATTCTTTATTTCTCCAGCTTTATTGCGATATAATTGACATATAACATTGTGTAAGTTTAAGATGTACAGCATGATGACTTGATACACATATATATTGCAAAATGATGACCACAATAAAGTTGGTTAATGCATCCATCATCTCACATAATTACCTTTTTTTTGAGAACATATTCCCTAAGATTTTAATATTCTGAAATTTATTGAGATTTATTTTATGGTCCAGCACACATTCAGTGAATGTTAAATGTACACTTGATCCATGTGCCATTGTTGATTATAGTGTCCTATAAACGTCAATTAAGTCAAGGTGACTGACAGTGTTGTGTGGGTCGTCTATATCTTTACCGATTTTTTGTCTAGCTTCTCTATCATTACTGAAAGAAAGGTGTTAAAATCTCCAACTATGATTGTGGATTTGTCTATTTCTCCCTTTTTTTTTTTCAGTTTTTGCTTTATGTATTTTGAAAATCTATTATTAGGTCCACATACATTTAGGATTTTTCCCTCTTCCTGATGAATCGAACTTCTCACATTATAAAATGTCCCCTTTATCTCTGGTAATACTCCTTATCTTATATTCTACATTATCTGGCATGAATATAGCCTCAGCCACTTTCTTATGCTTACTGTTTATAGGATGCATATTTTTCATCCTTTTATTTTCAACCTACTCATGACTTTATATTTAAAGCACATCTCTTACAGACAGCATATACTTGGGTCTTACATTTTTACCCAGTCTGACAATCTCTGCCATTTAATTGAAGTGTTTAGCCTATTGGCATTTAATATAATTATTGATATGGTTGGGTTTAAGTCTAACATTTTGCTATTCATTTTCTATTTGTCCCTCCCATCTATTTTACTCTTGTTCTATTTCTTCTTTCCTGTCTACTTTAGAATGAGTTACAAAAATTAAAATTCCATTTAATTCCTCCATTGGTATTTCAGATATACCTCTTTTTTTTTGATGGGTGCTGTTAAGGTTATAAGAACCTCATGACAGTCAATTTACATTGAACTCCACTTTTGTGCCATTGTTTTTCATATATTTTATATCTACATATATAAGACTTATTACATATACATATGTAATAAATCCCACAGTAAAATGTATTTTTTCCATTAAGCGGTCAGTTGTCTTTCAAAAAAATTGAAAGAAAAAAAGATAGTTTTTTATATTTACCCAAATATTTACCATTTCCAATGCATAACCATTTTAATTTCTTCCTATAGGTTTGAATTTCCATCTAGTATTATATCACTTCAACCTGCAGAACTTCCTTTGGCATGTCCTGTGATGCAGGTCTACTTTTGATGAATAAAATGTCTTTATTCTATCCTCATTTTTGAAGAATAATTTTAGCTAAATACAGGATTCTGGGTTGACAGAGTTTTTTTTTTTTTAATTTCTCTTTTTCCAGTATTTTAAAGATCTTGTTCCATTGTCACCTGGTTTCTACTGCTTGTGATGCAAAGTCAGCTGTCATTGGTACTACCGTTCCCCTATATTTAATGTATTTTTTCCTCCAGTTGTTTAAATTTTTTTTTCTTTATCTTTGTTTTTCAGCAGACTACAATATGGTTATCTTTGTATTTATCCTGCTTTGGGTTTGCTGAATTTCTTCGATCTATAGGGTGGCATTTTTAAATAAGATTGGGGGAAAATTCAGCCAAAAAGTAGAAATAACCCAGATATCCATCAGCTGATAAATGGATTAAAAAAATGTGCTATGTCCATACAATGGACTATTATTTGACAATAAAAAGGAATGAAGTACTGATATGTGCTACAACATGGATGAACCTTGAAAACATGTAAATGAAAGAAGCATTCACAAAAGACCACATATGTATGATTTCATTTATATGAAATGTCTGAATAGGCAAATCTATAGAGACAGAAAGTAGATTAGTAGGTGCCTAGGGCTAGTGGGGAGAGGGGGAATATAGGGTGACTACAATGGGTTGTGAGGTTTCTTTTTGGGGTGTTCTAAAATTGTCTGAAATGTTCTAAAATTGATTGTGAAGATGGTTGCATAACTCTGTGACTATGCTGGAAGCAACTGACTTGTACACTTTAAATGAGTGAATTGTATGGTATATGAATAATATGTCAATAAAGCTGTCAAAAAAAGAAAACAAAAAGAAGCCAGGTTTCCTAACTCACAATTATGTTTTTTTAATACAATGCTTAATATTTCACAATTTATTTTTTATTTATATTTATATGGTTTTAAATTTATTTAAATAATTTTAATAATTAATTAAAATAAACTTAATTTTTATTTATTTAAATAAAGTTTATTTTAATAAATGTATATGGTTTTAAATTTTATTTATTTAAATAAATATATTAAATAAATATAAATATAGGGCTTTTACCAAGACTTGGAAGCAACCTAAGTGCCCATCAAGGGGCGAATGGATAAAGATGTGGTATATATACACAATGGAATACTACTCAGCCATAAGAAATGATGAAATCCAGCCATTTGTGACAACATGGATGGACATTGAGGGTATCATGCAGAGTGAAATAAGTCAGAGGGAGAAGGTCAAATACCGTATGATCTCACTCATTAAGTAGTAAATAATAACAACAACAAACAAACATAGAGACAGAGATTGGATTGGTGGTTACCAGAGGGGAAGGGGGGAGGGAGGAGGGCGAAAGAGATAATTCGGCACAGGTGTGTGGTGATGGGTTGTAATTAGTATTTGGGTGGTGAACGCGATGTAATCTATGCAGAAATAGAAGTATAATGATGTACACCTGAAATTCATACAATGTTATAAACCAATGTTACTGCAATAAACAAAAATTTAAAAATATATATATAGGGGCCGGCCCCGTGGCTTAGCGGTTAAGTGTGCGCGCTCTGCTACTGGCGGCCCAGAGTTCGGATCCCGGGCGCGCACCGACCCACCGCTTCTCCAGCCATCCTGAGGCTGCGTCCCACATACAGCAACTAGAAGGATGTGCAACTGTGACATACAACTATCTACTGGGGCTTTGGGGAAAAAAAAAAAAAGGAGGAGGATTGGCAATAGATGTTAGCTCAGAGCCAGTCTTCCTCAGCAAAAAGAGGAAGATTAGCATGGATGTTAGCTCAGGGCTGATCTTCCTCACATACACACACAAATATATATATATATATATATATATATATATATATTTATATTTTTAAACCTCAAAAAAATAAATAAATATAGGGCTTTTAATTTCCCTATATTTTTTCTTGAGTGCTTTTAATGAACATGACCAACAATATCAAATAGTACATGAAGATGTATCTGGATTTAAAAATGACATATAAGTGAATCCTCATAATTATGTATAACAGTCACCAAAATAGTAGTTTTCTTTTAAATAAGACTTTATAGCTAACAACTGTTTAACATCTATTATCTCGTGATTTTTTTCACAATTCTGAGGTAGTCAAGGAAGGTGGTATTTTTCCCATCATTCACACCAGGAAACTGTGGTTAGCCCAAGGTAACACATATTGTTCACTTACCCAGGAATTTACTGTAAATCTAGTATTCTTCTACATTATGTCAAAAGGACTAATTCTCTCTCTCTCCTACTTTTTCTCTTAACTCATTTTTTTTCTAATGTAGAACTTTTTTCTTCTTTTTTCATTGACATATTGAATACCAGAGGGGAAAAGTAGAGTCAAGGGCAAGTAGAAATATAATCACTTTCTTGAACTCTTCTTTCTGAAGAAATTGAGAGTTGGGAGCACTGTCCAGTAGGGGCAAATTTATAGCACTATTGTCTCGAAATAATTCTATGGTTACTTCCATTTAGATAAACCAACTTATGAGCAGAGAACAATTTTTAATATCTACCATATAAAGTCTAATTGTATTTGTTGGAAATACATACAAACTAAAAGTCTCTGATGTGTTCTGTTCAGTTATCAGGTCAGTGACTACTTTTATTCCATATAGTTTTCTGTGCTAAAGGTTTTGTCTAACCTAAAAAATATCACATCCTTAATCATTCGTTAATATAGTCTCATCTTTGGAAAGATCTCTATTTCTGGCAAACAACTTAGGTAAGTCTTTATAGGTCTGCATATCCTCATAGCAGTTCCCACATTAATTTCTCTACTCCAAGGTAGAGTGGGATAAATAACTATTATCTGAATTTCAGGAAGTAAAAAACTAATAAGCTTTAAGAGGCACAGGCAAAAAACAGATATTAAGTTTTTGATTCAAATCTTAAGTTTGAGTTATCATAGTATAGTACACAGAACCCCAAACTAGAAGTTAGGAGACATGAGGGTTAGTCTTGATTCTGCCACTTGATTATCTGTGTGATTTTGAGAAGTCATTTTGCCTCTGAGCATCCTTTTCCTCATCTTTACAATGAGGTTAAAAATTTTTTTTTTGACTCTTATTACCCAAGCTTATGGTGAGGGCCAAATGACATAACATCTATGAAACTATAAAGCCCTATGCAAATGTAAAGTAACATATACATACGTATGTATGTGTGTGTGTGTATAAATACTCAGCTACTTTCCAATATTAGTTGAGTTTGACTAATATTTGATGGTCTAATTCACTAAACTACTCAGCAAATATTTTAAGACACTGTGGAGTCAAAGATGAACAAGTCATAGTCTCTGACTTCTAGGAATTCACATTTAAGAGAGGAGATGAACATTAAACATAAATAACACAAGAAAGGAATAAATAAGGTAATAGAGGTATACAACAAATTCTACTGGAGTCCAACAAAAAGGTGAACTCATTCTACCTGAGGGGAAAGAGACAGATGTCAGAGAGGATAACAGCTAGGCTTAAAGGAAGAGGTCGAGTTGCTAGATTTTTATCCATATCCATGGGCTTCACAATAGAACACAAAGAACCACAAGATCTGTTACAACTAGCTCTGCCTTCAGGAGTTAAAACTAGTACTTGACCTCTTTAGACCTCTCTTACCACAAGTCTAAAATGAAAGGTTTAGATAAGATGAACTAGTAAGTCCTTCCAGCTCTAAAATTATATGATTCTATGAGTCAAACTCTGGACATTGTACAGATACCAAGAAAGAGAACTCAAGAGAGTAATAAAATAGCCAGAACTATTAAAAAAGGAGCTCTCTCATTAACTACTTTTTCTTGGAATTTAAAAGTCTGAGAATGATATTTATCTCTACCTAGAATAAGCTCTAGCACAGTGAAGAGTGGACATTGGAATGATATCCAGAAGCTGAGAACCAAACAACGCAGGTGAATAGCAGGAAGTGAAACACTCAGTTTAGCAAAGATGTTGCTTAGACCAGTAAGGAAATAGGTAGCAGATAGGAATATAAACATTGTAACTTCCTATTTACTAAGAAAAACTTGCAATAAAACCATAACCAGATATTAAAATACACACTTCCATAAAATAAGGTGGTGGTTCTTTGAAGTTTTGCCCTGTTAAACCACTTCTTAAAAAACCATTTGTATGAAAAGGTCAGTTTAGGAATTATAAAGAAAAGGATCATAAACCTAAATAAACACAACTGAATTAATTCCAGGAATGGTACCACAGGTGGATACAAGTTCACTAAACATGTATTAAACAATGTTTAACAGTGCTAGTTGTTGTAAAACACATAGTTCCAGTGCTCAAGGGGTTCACTGACCTAATATCAAGACTTTCAGGAAGAAAGAACAGTAACTCTTACCCATCAATCATATTTTCAGGTGGGTGTTTTTCATCACTTGATGTAGCTAAAATCACTTCAGCCCCTTCAGAGCTCAAACAGAGATCAACTTTTCTCATCTTAGAGTGTTTAACCTGCAAATAAAACAAAAAGCAACTTCTCGATTCTCTGAACTTTATCTGAGGAAAAAAAGAGAAAGCCTGTTGCCTAGCACACAGCTTAACAACCAAGCTATTCAACAAGTGGGAGGGACTCTAACATGTTTATTTACATAAGTAAACTTCTGACCTCTCCCAGGGATAATCTGTAAGATATGACTATTTCTACTACTCTACAAAACAAGTCCCTGACTATTCTGATGTCATTTTTCTGCTTCTAAAATTAAAAGCTCTCGATAATTATATGGAAAGAGTTAACAAGCTAAAGTGACATGAACTGGTGGGTAATTTTTTTTTAATTTTTTATATTGTTATATTTCTGAAATTAAAAAAATCTGGAGCATAAAAACAGATGCTTTGTGACTGTTTATCTATACACTTATCAAATGAAGCAGCAGTGTTATTGACATCTTAAAAGACACCTTATCATCACTATTATTTTTTTGAGTAGGAATGTAAAATGAGAGAAAAGAAAACATTTTACTTATTTTTAAATTCTAAATCAGTCACTTGGGTCATGGACTTAAAGACATTTCTGTTGTATGGAAATATTTTAAGTTTAATAAAAGTTTCTGAAAAGATATCGTTGAGCTCTACTATGGACCCTGGAGAGTAAGACAGATGGAAGATGAGAAGATTCTATCAGATCTCACTCACCCTCCTCCTTGGTCTGGTCGTGATAGGGCACAAACCAATATATACAGATAACAAAGTGACTGGGAAAGATGTATCTACAGAGAATTAAAACAGAAAGAGTGTTTGGAAAAGGGAGGAAGGCTTCTGATACCCTTCATACCCTGATCCCAGTCTAACTTTTTAAAAAATGAAAGTATTTCAAATAAACAACAAAGTACAGAGAATATTACATATATTAAACAACTTAGTACCCACTGCCCAGATTTAATAAATGTTAACATTTTGCCATATCTACTTTTTTTTTTTGTCCAGAAATAAGCAGCCCCTCACTGGCCCCATTTTCTTCCTTGCCCAGAGGGAAGAGCTATCCTGAAGTGGGTGAATATCCCTCCTGACTATATTTTTGTACTTTTACCATATATGTATCCATACATAATACTACTGTTATTTCAAAACTTAGACGGTTTCACAGTGTATATATCTTTTGGCTACTTGCTTTTTTCATTCAATATTGTTTTCAAGATTTTATCATGTTGATACATGTAAATCTACTTTATTCATTTTAACTGCTCTAAGGTATTTCCCCATTTCTCTAATGATGGATATTTAGGTCAGTTTTCCAATTATTTTGCTATCATAAACAAATTTGCGATATATATCCTTGTGTACATATCCCTATGCACATGTGGGAGAAAGTCTTTATAATAAAAGAGTCTTTCTTTATAGAAGTAAAATTACAAAAAGTTGGAATCAGTGTATCTTCAAGTCATTAATTGATCAACTTGGTCTCTAAATTATAACAATTTACATTACCATCAACAATGTATGAGAGTTTCTGCTTCCTCATATTCTCACCAACTTGGTATTGTTAGACACTTTGGCTTTAGCCAGTCTCATTGGTATGAAATGGTATCTCAATGAGGTTTCAATTTGTATTTCCATTACTAGTGAGGTTGAATACTGTTTCATACGTTTATGGGACATTCAGGTCTCTTCTGTTCTTTGCTTTTTCTTAACCTTTGCTCATATTTCTATTCGGTTGCTTTTTTTTTGTCCTTTTCTTTCTGATTTGTAGGAAGTTTTAAAATAACATATTCTGGATACAAATCCCTTGTTACACGTGTTACAAATATATCTTCCTACTCTGTGGCTTGATTTTTCTCTTGAAGTTTGTCTTTTTGTGTAAGAGTTCCCTTCACCCCCACCACATACTTTCTTTTTTGTCATTGAACTATAACATACATACAGAAAAGGACACAAATCATAAGTATATAGTGCAATAAATTTTCACAAAGTAAACACACTCAGGTAACCACCACCCAGATAATGAAATGGAACATTACCAGTACTTGAGAAGCCTTCCTTATGCCCCCTCCCAATCACTACCCCTCCCTCCCTCCCAAAGGTAAGCATGGTCCTTATTTCTAATGCTATAAATTTTGCCTGAACTATATATACACACATATATATATATGAAATCATACAGTTTGTACTTATATGTATCTGGCTTTTTTCACTCATCATTATGTTTTTGAGATTTATCTATGTTGTCGTATGTAGCAGCGTTCAAATGCAACTAAGTAAAGCTACAACCTAGCCCCCAGCCAGCTCAACTCAAGATCAAATAAATCAGCCTCTAAGTGGAGCTTCACAGGAAACTGGGTGTGAACTGAAAAACAAAGAAAGATTTCTGTGATCTGGAGTACCTAGATTCCAAAGCCCTAATGAAGGAGGGTAATGATTTTACTCCCAAATGTCTGCAATCAGAGGTAAACCAAAACTACTTAAATAAAACTATAACTCAGTCCAATGCCAGAACAATCCCTAGCTGGACTAAAGTGATTTTCCCCTTATCCTAGCTACTAGACAAAGAAAATGGTATGATCTCTTTGGGAAAAAAACGTTATCTACTTCAGTGTCTATTTTTTTTTTTACACACGACATCCAACATACAAAGTCACTTGAAGCAGATCTATAAATGACCCAGGTGCTGGAATTAGCAGAAAGAAATAAAGATAACCACCATAAATCTGTTAGAGAATTTACTGAGAAAAATGGACAAAATAGGTGAACAAGAGTTTTAGCAGAGAAATGGAAACTCTAAAAAAGAATAAAATGGAAATTCTATAACTGAAAAAGACAAAATCTAAAATAAAGAATTCATTAGATGGGTTTAACATCAGACTGGATCCAACAAAGAAAGGGTCAGTGAACTTAAAGATACGTCAGTAGAAATGATCCAAAATGAAACAGAGAGTAAAAAAATATGAACATAACAGAGCACCAGATACCCAGAAAACAATACCAAACTATTCTGAAACACATGTAGTTGGAGTTCTGGAAGGAGAGGAGAAAGAGAATAGTGTAGAAGAAAAATTTGAAGAGATATGGCTGAAATTTTTCCAAAATCTGTGAAAGACATAAACCCACAGTGCCAAGAAGCTTATAACCCTTAGTTGGATAAATACAAAGATGATCCTACTGAGGCACATCTTAGTCAATTACTGAAAATTAAAGAAAAGATTAAAAATTAAAATCAGTCAAAGCAAAAACACATTGCATTTAAGAGAACAAGAATCAAAATTGACTTCTCATCAGAAACAATGGAAGCCAAAAGACAATGGAATGACATTTTCAAAGTGCTAAAAGACAAAATATAGAATGCTATATCCAGCAAAAATATTCTTTGAAAGTGAAAGCAAAATAAAGACATTTTTCAGGCAAACAAAACCAGCAAGTATTTGTTACAAGTAGACCCACACTCCAAAAAACATTAAAGGAAGTTCTTCAGGCTAACGGAAATGATTCCACGTTGAATCCTGGATCTGTTGAAAGGAATGAAGAGCACTGGAAATAGTAAATATATTGCTAACATAAAGTAATATTTTAAAAATTTCTTTATAAGAGTATTGACTATTTAAAGAAAAAATAGCAATGAATGGTATGGATTTAAAGGATGTAGAAGTAATAAGTACAGTAATTATACAAAAGGCAAGAGGAGGGTAAATGAGACTGTACTTTTTGTAAAGTACTTTTGTAAAGTTCTTACAATGAACATGACTGATACGATATTAATTCAAAGTAGACTAGGATGTTAAGGATGCATGTTATAATCCTAGGATTAGAATAAGTCATCACTAAAAACCATAAAACAAAGAGTTATAGGAAGAATGCCAACAGAGAAGAAAAAATGGAATACCATAAAAATACTTGATTAATCTGAAAGAAAGCCAAAAGGAAGGAAAAAAAGAATAAAGACAAATAGAAAATAAATGGCAAGAAGATAGTTTTAAGCACAAATACATCAATTAAAGATAGTTTTAAGCACAAATACATCAATTATTCCATTAAATGTTAAGAAACGGAACACTAAATTATCAGACAAAAAACCAATTAGATACTCTTTTCAAAAGACACACTCTAAATATAAGGATAGATTGAGTAAAAAGATAGAATAAGATATAATAAGTCTCAACATCTGGTAAGGTAAATTCCTCTATTTGATTTTCAAAATTGGTTTGGTTCTATGCTTTTGTACCTCGACTTTAAGAAAACAGTTTTGTTAAGTTACAGAAAAAAAAATTTTTGAGATGTTGATTGCAATTCAATTCCATTTATAGATTAATTTGGAGAGAATACCGTGTTTATGACAATGAGTCTTCATATGAATGGATCTGACATATCTCTTCATTTATTTAAGACTTCTTTTAAGTCTCGAAATTGTTTTATAGTTTCCTTCAAACACAGCTTCACCTCTTTTGTAAGATTTACTCTTAGATGCCTTATGGTTTCTATTGCTATTGCAAAAGGGATCTTTTAAAAAATAACATTATTTTAAAAAATCTTCTTCTTTACCATACAAGGAATATTTCTAACATTTCACCATTAAATGTGATGCTCACTGAAGGTTTTACAGTTCACTGGATTATAGAAATTCCCTTCTCTTTCTAGTTTTTTTCTAAGCATGAATAAGCATTGAATTTTATCAAATGCTCTTATCACATTTACTAACATGATTGTATAGATTTTTCTACAGGTTGATAATGTGATAAATTAAATCAAGATTTTCTAATGTTATAGTATCCCTAGTTCCCAGCATAAACTCTATGTGGCCAAGGTGTATTTCTATTTTTATCCATAGTTGGATTCAGTTTGCTAATATTTTATTTAGAATTTTTGCAGATATATTTCTAAGTGAGATTGGCCTATAATTTTCCTTTGTTATTCAGTCCATATCTGGTTTTGAAATCAAGATTGTACTCCCAACATAAAGAATTGGAGAGCTTCCCCTCTTTTTTCTAGTTGTTGGTACATTTTGTATAAGATAGGGGTTATTTGATCCTGTAAGCCTGGTAAAGTGTTTAGAAGTAGACTTTTTTGACTATTTCAAGTTCAATGGTTCTTTTCAGGTTTTCTACACTTTCTGAGTTAATTTTGAAATTTATATTTTGTATAAAATTATCCATTTCTTCTCAGTTTTTATATTTATTGGCATAAAGTTCATTTTTTATTGTAATTTAAAAATCTAACATGATAGTGTTAAAACTGTAGTAAGATTGGTTAAGAAAAAAGGCATATATTCCAATATTTTTTATTTGTGCCTTTTTTCTTGCTTTTAATACTATAGATACCAGAGAACTGGTATTGGATAAACATTGTTAACCCTTAGTTTGAAGAGAAGAAAGATGGTGAATGCCTAGAAATACACAGTGATGAACTTGGATGTTAATTCTCAACAAAATTCTAAAATTATTAAATTTCATTGTTAAAATGATGGCCTTGAAAGAGTAAACAAGAAAATAGT